GCGTTTCAAAACACGCGTGTCGAAGCAACTGAGCTGACGCGGCGTGCCATCTTCTGAAATCTGCCTCAACTTGCTGCACTCTTTTCTGAGACGCTACTGGACGGTTCACCACGGGCTTCGATATCAAAGAACAACTCGTGAGAAACAACCGGAAACAATGCGTTCCGGAACGGCGGTGAGATTCCGGCGTCCGGTGTCGAACACAACTATCTTCGGTACCATATGTCCAAACGACGACCGTACGATGCGCTTAAAATATTGGCAATACCCCAACATACGCTTAAAACTTGATTGCTAGATGACTGTGACGTAACCTCTATCCAGACCGAAGTGGGATACAGACGAGCACTGTTCCGAGTCGCCTGAGATTGGCTGGTCGTCAAATGGTGGCTGACTACGCCCAACAATCGCAAAACCGCCTCCGAGTAAAGCCAAAACGACATCCTGATAAAGACCAACCAACCCCCCAGGCGGCATTTGATCCCTTCTTGCTCTGGGAGGAGGAGTCGGCGGCGGAGGCGGAGTCCTCGTCCTCCTCCTCCCCCTCCTCCTCCTCCCTCTAGGAAGGCGATGAGGATGGGAATGAATCATTTTTTTTGATGGCACGTCCCAAGCGTTTCCAAAACACTGCGTCCAGGGAAGGGTACGAACACCGTTGCGGAGGGTGGGAACATCAACGGAAGCAGGACGAATGGCAGGAGGAGGACGACGAAAGGGAAGAACAAGATCTTGGTACTCGAAAGGGCCAAACCTGTTACTGAAAAACTGTTCTGCATTGCCGAATCGGGCCGCGCTTGTTTTTGAAAAACAAATGTTTGCCTTCCGGCTGGTTCATGAAGCGGTGGGGCTTGTTACTGAAACTGCGGCGCTTGTTACTGAGACAGCAGCGTTTTTTTTTACGGAAATGATGGCGCTAGTTGCTGAAACAGTGGTTTTGTCACTGCTCTAGGGTCTGTCACTGTAATGGTGCATTCTGCGGCGCCATCTCGGTGCGGCTGAAGCGGTGCCAAAAGCCGTGCCAAATTTTTCCCCAAAGGCAATACGGCAAGGCATTGGGTTCAAAATTGTATATACTTAATGTTATTTATTGGGGCTGGCGGCCAGGCCTGACGACCCAAGTGCAAGATCTCCCTACAACGATCGGATGTCCCTATGGTTCTCCATGATCCTGGTGACTTGCCCACGACCCTCCTCGAGCTGACGCGGGATCTGGCTAATGTTTGAGGTTTCTGATCCTCGTTCCCCATCCCCCTTCTCACTCTATTTCGCCGCCGTTTTTTTCTAGCAGCTCCACGTTTGGTGTCTTGTATGGTTTGCGCTCTGGGATTGTGGTTTCGGCTCTGGACTGGTATGCGTTAAACATTGTTTCTAGCAAGGAAAAATTGGAACCGGAGTAATCGGAATAAGTGGGAATTGTGAATTTTATATGAAAGAAATTACCATGCGTTCGAACTGTATTGGACGAGAGTTGGGAAACACAAGTAATGAACACCAGTCCCGAAACAAATGCACCACAACAAGAACACGACACTGCAAACGTTTTTTCCCAACCCTCCTGCGTTGGGTACTCGTTTTGAAGAGAACACTGTGGTCTCCACCTCCCTTCTCCTCCTCCCGCCTCTCCTCTCCCCTCTTCGTCTCTTCTCTTGGGTCCAGCGGAGTGAGGCACCACGGGGACCCAGATTAGACCTCGCCATTCCTGGGGGGGGGGGCTGCGATCTGTGAAACTGTCGCCACTTTCGAGGGCTGCTGGTGGGTCCAGCGGAATGAGGCACCACGGGGACTCAGATTAGACCTCGCCATCTCTGGGGGGGCTGCGATCTGTGAAACTGTCACCACTTTCGAGGGCTCTGGTGGGTCCAGCGGAGTGAGGCACCACGGGGACTCAGATTAGACCTCGCCATCCCTGGGGGGCTGCGATCTGTGAGACTGTCGCCACTTTCGAGGGCTGCTGGTGGGTCCAGCGGGGTGAGGCACCACGGGGACTCATATTAGACCTCGCCATCTCTGGGGGGCTGCGATCTGTGAAACTGTCGCCACTTTCGAAGGTTGCTGGTGGGTCCAGCGGAGTGAGGCACCGCGGGGACTCAGATTAGACCTCGCCATCCCTGTGTGAAACTGTCGCCACTTTCGAGGCTGCTGGTGGGTCCAGCGGAGTGAGGCACCACGGGGACTCAGATTAGACCTCGCCACCCCTGGGCGGCTGCGATCTGTGAAACTGTCGCCACTTTCGAGGGCTGCTGGTGGGTGGCCAGCGGAGTGAGGCACCACGGGGACTCAGATTCTGACCACGAGCAATGCTCGCGTGCCCTTGCTCTGCGGTTCGTGCCACGTGGCGCTGCGACTCGAGCTGGCGGTCGCCCTCCGGGCCCGCAGAAACATCTGCTGAGCTCGAGCTAGGGGAACCACAGGAAAGAAGCGCAGGAAACGGAAGCCGGTCATGCACTCGCCGATACCTCGTTGCTCTGTCATCGTCTTTGCTGTTGCGTGATCCTTATCTGGCCTGCCGGCGCCGCGGCTCGAGCTGGCGGTCGCCCTTCGGGCCCGCGGGAACATCTTCTGAGACAAGTGGCCGCCGCCTTACTTGCAGGCAGCGCGTTGCATTCGCGGACAGCAACATGGCAGACCGCAGTGAGATCCTCAGTCGCGTGGCGTTGCCAAGCCTGGTGGAGACGCGCGTGATCGACCTGAAGTCCCAATCGCGCGTGCACTGTACCTGCGTGGCGTTCAGGCACGCGCGTGATGCTGCTCGCTCCGCGTTCAACCAGTACGTCGCCAATGCAACTTTGGACGATGGACAACCGATTGATGATACGCGACCCCGGCCTTGAGTTTCTTTCCCGCGGGCCGCCCGCAGACCTGGCGGCGCGCCTGCGAGCGTTCAGCTCCCGCGCTGAAATGTGCGGGAAGGAGGCGGAGAAGCTAGCGGGCGAGCTACGCCTCGCTCGTTCCTTGCACTCTAAACAAGTTCTATCATGTGGAACTCTGCGACGACATGGCGCAGGCAGCGCTGCGGGTTTAGCTCGCACTTGAAAAACGCGGCAGTCTTCTGTCTCCTCCCGCCACTTTCATAGTCGTCCAATTCCCCGCCTCACCTTCTCCATGCATGCTGCTGCTTCCGCGATGGCCTTTCGCCCCCCCCACCCTCCATTCCATCCCTCTCCTACCCCTCGTTCCCGTACCCGTTCTTCTTCGATCCTGGGGCCTCAAGCCTCGTTCTTTCGATCGTCGTCCTGCGAATCGTGCAACGCATGCGCATCCCATGTAGCTTGCACAGCAAATCGCCGCGTCTACATTGTCGTTGTTCCTGCTAATGTTGGCATGCTCCTCTTGCCATTTGATGCACGTGGGTTGGGTACGTCGCAGGGTAATTGCAATCTTGCTGTCGGTCGTGGTATCTAGGATATGTATGGAAAATATCATCAGCAATGCACCTTCACTGTTTCTTCCATGGTTGGCGAACGTTCTTGGGTACTATCTACCAAGAGCCACCTGAGTGGAGAATTCCTATCGCACTGATGATGTGTAACTTGCATGTTGCACTTTACGTGGTGCACCTTGCAGAACTTGGAAATGTTTAACTAAATTGCCCCCGCAATCATCCCACAGTCCCACCCGCAACTTCTTATGCACAACTCATGCGGCCACGATTATCGTGACTCCTTTGCGCTAGCTGGAACGTCTCTGCGGCTGCGATAACGCGCGCAAGCTCGCGCGCAAAATGCCCAATTGATTACCGACGCGGCCGCGATGACGCGTGCCGTTGGCAATTTCCCAACGCGTCTCCAAAGCCGCGCTGGCGCGCGGGTGTCCCGAACCGGCTCGGTGATTCGAGCGGGCGCGGTATTATTCATAATACTGCGTCAACGGCGGCAACGATGAAGATAATAACGATGGTGGCGGTGATGGTGACGAGGACGGCGGTAAGACGGAGCGGGTTCTGGTGACGACGGCGACGATGATGCTGATGCTGATGCTGATGATGATGTCCGTGCGTCGATAATGAAGGTGCTTGAACGATGATGGCGGTACTGATGCTGGCGATGGCGGCGAGTAAGTGCGCGGTCTCGGAAATCCAATAACCCTATTGTTTCACAATAAGAAAGCAGCGAACCCAATGCCACCGCAGTGTAAGCCAAGCGAGACACAGAAAGTGAAGTGGCTCGGATTTCAGGCGGCTAAACAGGAGGATGAGGAGGAGGAGGAGGAGGAGGAGGAGGAGGAAGAGGAGGGGGAGGAGGGGGAGGCGGAGGAGGAGGAGGAGGATAAGGTGGAGGAGAAAGACCTTTCGCACCTTTCCTCAGATGGGAGCCCTGAGTGCAAGCTCGCTCTCTCCATCCACCTCGCCTGTCAGGGAACTCCACGCCATACTTAGGCGGGAGTCCCCTACTCCTTCTACTCAGGTTCTGCCTCCATGTGGCAATCATCTCGGGAGGACAGGGTTTGGAAAAGGTTCACGAGATGCTGTGCGCAAAAAATCCCACAACATTTGCAACACAACATACCCCGAAACATCCTGAGAGAATGGGTCGGGTGCAACTTGGCCAAGAGGGGGTGTTCAGTCACGGCCTCCCCTGGTTAGCTCCCAGCAGAGCTGTCCGCGGCGACGGGCCCAACCTGCGCACCGGTACCCAACACAGCGGACCCAGGACACAGGGGAGGCCTAACATACTCTGACTTGCCCTTGAGGGCAGGGAACTTACAAAACACCTCTGGCATTTCAAATGAGTTCCTACTTTCAGAATGTCGTGTCCCTGTTCCAGCAGTCTGATTTCCGCTGGTTCAGGGGCGTGCTTGACTCGGTGCTTCTCTCGGCCTAGGCGATCGTCTCTGAGGAGGAGGAGGAGACTAGGAGATGGATGTGGAAAAACATGTGAAAAACGACTGCTTGCTGAACAGCGGACTGTCAGTGAACAGCGAGTCTAGCAGCGGGCGCAGGTCGCGGTGCCGGCTTGAGCCAGTGGTGGGTGGTGTAGGCAAGGATGGGGTGAGTTAAGCAGAAGAGGAAGGCATGCTGTTCGGGTCTGGTTCTCAAGCGAGTCCGTCGCGACCTCATTGGTGCCAACCTGCTACTGGAAGTGCTCTACTCACCGCTCTCGTGAAAAAAGCCTGCGATGAGCGTTCTAATGATCGCGCCCCAGAGACTACTGGTGGAACACTTGCGACTGCCTACTGCCGCTAAGTTGACATCGTCAGCTGAAGCAGCACTCAACCGAGAGCTCAACTTCCTCGTAGTTCTTGACAACGAATGCCCGCAGAACTTGACGCCCTCGTAGCTGCCAGTAGGTCGACCAAGGTCCCCGTGAGCGGAGCTACGTAAGCTCTCCATTGACAAAACCCTTGAGTTCTGGGCGTTGCAATTTGTGTTACGCCGAGCGTTCTCTCCCGGTTCCGGTCACCAGGACCTTCGCGAATCGAAACAGTTCGAAAAATTGTGGAGAACGATGGGGTGGGTCCAGGGCTAGAAAGTCCAGGGTTCGCTAGGGACTGGTTTCCTGGTTTCCCTTTCAAAACAACCGAAACCCTCCGAGCACCCTCCGGGAAGGGCTCTGGGAGGCTTTTCGGGGGGTCTCGCGGGAGGCTTTTGGAAGGGCTCAAGTCGCTCTGGGGCGAAACAATCCCCGGCGAACCCTGGGCTTTGAAAGTCTAGGGCTGCGGGCTCTATTCGGGTCGGGCGAAAGGGGGGGATAGCAAAGGGGGGGGTTGAGAATCAGCTCGCGTAGCTGATTTTCCCGGCGCTTCCCGGCGCAGGAGGCGGCTATGTATCGAGGAATGGGCCCCTCGGTGAGGCCGAAATCAGCTGCATGCAGCAAATTTCGTACCCCCCCCTTTCCCAATCCCCCCCCTTTCGCCCGGCCCGATCTATTCACCAGGGTACAAGTTTTTCGACACGTCGGATGACAGGGTCCGACCAGAGGCCCGCAAGCCGACGGACGGTCGGCCCCTCTCTGCGGAGGCAGTGCAGCTCCCCGGGGCCGAAGGGGCCGCCCCGCCGCGCCGAAAGGAGCTCAGAGGAGGGGGCCCAAAAGCGTCGGCCGCCAGGGACTTGGCGGCGCGCACAAGGTAATCTTAGAAGGAGGCTGCTTCTTAGCAGGAGGCTGCTTCTTAGCAGGCGCTGACCTTACATCCATAGACGAGGCCCGCGCCTTCTCAGAAGCAGGGGGGCCTCCTAGAAGCCTGCCCCCCTCCCCCTTCGCCGTCGTAGTCGCAGTCGTAGTCGTGGTCGTGGTCGTGGTCGCAATCGTAGTCGCCCCTCTGCGCGTGGCCGGAGGACGGCGGAACCATCGCCGCCGACGGTGCAGTCTTTTTGCGGCGTCGGCCCCTAGGGGGGGTCTGGGCCACTTCTCCCGGGGCTGGCTGGTCATCCTGGGCCGTTTTTTTTTGCGGTCCTGGAGTTAGGTCGGGCATGTTCCCCTGCAGCCAGATTTTGGAGGACAAAAAGAGATAGTCAACAAAATACAGAAAGTATCAAACAATAATCGAACCATCGTCACCAGACTCATCTTTTTTGGCTATTTTTGAGTGTTCCTGCTGTAGAGGGACATGCCCGACTTAATCCTGGGGGCGGGAAGCGGCTTCCAGAGCCGAAAACCACGAACAAAACTGCCGTCGCGATCTTCGCTGAAACGCCTGGATCTGAGGGTGGCTGCGCTACTTTTGCAGAGCCTTCCCAGACATCCGATGACGTGATTTTGTGAAAACGGGGTCTCCAAGAGTCCCGACCCTCCCCGTAAGACTTGCGTTTCGTCTCTTTCCGCGAGGGCCCCGAGAGGCGACAACGATGAAAACCCTCCGTGTTCAATGTTTCAACGCGTTGGAGATCTGTTGGGTCCGAGCCCGCCTGCTCGGAACCCCATCTGGGAAGCTCGGCCTCGACCGCTGTGCGAATCAGAAGGTTGCCAAGCAAACCGGGAACAGCACACGAGCCCACCTGCGATAGGCAAACTCATGCATTGAAAACCGTGGCCTGAAAGACGAGCGAACGTGCCGCATGCGAAAGAAAAAGGACGCGGCACGCTTTGTAGACTCAGACATGCGACGCCTTGATTCTTCCAATGCGCGGTCCCCAGAAGTTCTGACCCTTTCCCCAAGACCTGTTTTTCATCCTGACTCGTGTTTTGACGGGCCTGGGGCCTGGCTAGGGCGCCTAGAGGCCGAAAACGGCCGACAACCTCCCGTCCGGACTTTTTCGCAACGCGAGCATGTCTGGGGAGCCTTTTGGCGGCGCGCAAAGGGGGGTGGGTAGGGGGAGGGGGGAAGGCTTCTCAGAAGCACCCTGCTTCTTAGAAAACCGTGGCCAGCGCCTTCTCAGAAGCAGGGGCGCTCCTAAGAAGCCTTCCCCCCTCCCCCCAAATGAGGGGCAACGCTAGGGGGGGGCTGGCATAGGGGGGATGCATCGACCTGGAATCGGCGATACATCGCCGATGGATCGGCGAGAGGAGGAGGAGGAGGAGGAGGAGGAGGAGGAGGAGGAGGAGGGAGGGAGGAGGAGGAGGAGGAGGAGGAGGAGGAGGAGGAGGAGGGAGTAGGAAGAGGAGGAGGAGGAGGAGGAGGAGGAGGAGGAGGAGGAGGAGGAGGCCGATCGTGAGTCCGCACCTTCCTGGGCAGGTTGGGGCCAACGGGCCCCCACCTCGGCGATCCAGTGGGCGATTGGAGGTCCGCGCATCCCCCCCCTATGCCTACTACCCCCCCCCCTGCCGTTGCCCCTGACAACCCTGACCTTCCAGAGAGCTATGTTTTAGCACGGGAGGCCCAAAGACCTGAACAACGAAACGAAACAGCCTAAAACCAAGACGTAGAATAGCTCTGGGATAGGCTTTTAAGTCGCGTGCTATTTTTTAGCCCTCCTGGAAGGCCAGGGAAGTGCCCCCCTTCTGCGCGTGGCCGAGCCTTCCCGCCTCGGCTGTCTCGCGGGCGCCCCGCTCGGGCCGTGCGAAAGGGTGGGATAGCAAAGGGGGGGTTTGAGAATCGGCTCTCGCAGCTGACTCTCCCGGCGCCCCCCGGCGCCCGAGGCGGCGATGCATCGAGGAATGGCCCCCTCCGTGGGGCCGAAGCCAGCTGCATGCAGCACATTTCGTATAATACAGGGCTGGGATCAGGATAAATCGCTCCAGAGCGTTCCGGAGCGCTCTCAGAGCGTTCCGGAGCGCTCTCAGAGCGTTTCGGAACGCTCTGGAGCGGCCGCGGCGCCCAATACATCCTCCAAACCCGCCGATTCTCAGAGATTCCCAGAGAGCTCTCTGAGAGCTATCGGGTTTTAGATTAGAAGCCGGACGGTGGTAGTGCCTGCCAGCAGCTCCTCCACGGCGGTCCAGAATCGTCGCAGCAAGTTGTGTGAGGTCGCAGCGTGTCTGGGAGCGCTTCCGGCACGCGTCCACGCGTGCCTGCACGCGTGCAGGCACGCGTGGAAGCGTGCCTGGCAGCGCTTCAGAAGCGCCTCTGGAGAGCCCCCCAAAGCTCCCCAGGAAAGCTTTCCAGTGTGAGTGCCTCTTTGCTCGATTTTGTCCCGATCTTCGTGTCGTTTTAGGGCCCCTCGGTGGGGCCGAAACCAGCTGCACGCAGCACATTTCGTAACCCCCCCATTTCCCAATCCCCCCATTTCTGAAGGGGCCCCAGGACACACAACTAAATACACACAAATAAAAACATTCCACATACTTTCCCATACTTTCTGGGTGTCTGTCTCCCCCCTCCCACTTCCCATACCTTCCCCTATTGTCTGGGGAGTCGACGATGAATTGTGTCTGTGTGCTTTCTCTTTCCTCCTGACCAATCCCCCCCGTTCGTCCGGCCCGCCCCGCGGACCCCGCGAGCGGCGCGCGGCGCGCCCGCGCGGCGGGCCCCCCCGGAGCGCGCGCGGCGCCCTCACTAGGAAGGCACCAACTATACCCCAACACCGATCCTGGCCCAGGATCACCCTGGGCCCAGGATCGGTGTTGGTGTATAGTTGGTGCCCTCCGACCTCACAGCTCCTCGCCGGGCGCCGCCTTCGGCCTGGAGGAGCCCCGCACCGGGGCCTGAAGGGCGCGCGCCGAGCAGGGAGGGCACCGGGGCGGCCATGGCGGCCCTCGCTCGCCGGTCGCCGCTCCCAAGATCCCCGGCGATATGTCTGTATATATATATATATAATGTGTGTATATGTATATGTATATATTTATGTATATGTATATATGTAAATATGTTTGTATGTATATATATATGTAAGTATTTGTATATATGTATATATGTACACACGTGTATACATATATGAGTACTCACACAAACTTATTATATTGTGTGCATATATATATGTATAGATATATGTAGCCCTGTGCTGGTGATAGTTACACCATGGGGATCATACGTCTCGGGCCTCGGGGGGGATGATAACAGATTTGTTCCCGGCCAGCCGCATGTAGGCACGTACGGTGTGCGGATGTAGGGGGGCACGAGACCTGAGAAGCCCTCTTCGCTCTTGGTTCTGGCGGGGCTTTCCCTGGTTAGGGTGATACGAGCACGGGACCAGAGAAATTCGCCGGCCCAACGGGCCAGGGCGTGCTAAGATCTCCGGTAACTGGTTAACAGTATTAACAGTATTTCTAGTTCGCGCGCGCGGGGCGGCCCCTGGGGGTCCCCCGGCGAAAAGTACCCCGACCAACGCCCGGTCGCCGCCCGACCGCCGCCCGACCAGTCTACTCAGAGATGGTTTTCCTTCTGGGTGCGGCCTCTCAGGCTCCCCAGAGCGCGCTCAGAGTGCCCCAAGAGGCCCCCAAGACTGCCCAAGAGGCCCCCGAGACGCCCAAAGAGCGCTCGAAGACGCCGAAGATGACCCCAAGACGGCCCAAAAGGCCCCCAAGACAGCCCAAGAGGCCTCCAAGACGCCCCAAGAGCCTTCCAAGAGGCCTCCGAAGAGAGCCCCAAGAGGCCAAAATCGTTGATTTTCATTGGTTTTTTCTATGTTTTTTGTGTTCTGGCTTTTTCGGCTTCCGGACGCTCCAAGACGGCCCAAGAGGCCCCCAAGACCGCTCCAAGACGGCCCACGAAGCTCCCAAGACGGCGCCGAAACGACCCAAGAGAGCCCTCAAGACGGCCCAAGTGCCGCCCAAGACGGACCAAGAGGCCCCAAGACGGGCCCAAGAGGGACTCAGGAGGGATACCGAGAACTCAAAAATGGAGCCCTCCGTCCCAGAAGGCGCCCAGGAGGTCCCAAAGAGGCCCCAAGAGGCCTCCAAGAGGCCCCAAGATGTCGCCAAGAGGCCCCAGGAGACTCCCAGGAGGCCCAAAAGAAGCCCCAGAAGGCTTCAAACATGTCTCCCAGGCGCCCCCGAACGGCCTCTCAACAGACCCCAAGAGGCCCCCCAAAGAAGCATCTTGACGACGACTCTATTTCGCCCCATCGAGAGACGACCCCCAGGGAACTGCTTCACCATCAAAACTCCCCACGCAACGCGTCCGAACGACACCCGCCCCCAAGAGCGCAACATGGGCAACGAACACACAGACAAAAACCAGCGATGCCATATCACGGGCCGGCGGAATGAGCGAAGCGATTCAATAATGTGGTATAGCGACACCCCGCTCGCTCTGGCGGGGCCTCCCTGGTGGGGTGGTGGGGGTCTACGGGGAGGTGATGATGATAACAAAGGATTCCGATTAGAGGATAATCACGATATGATGATCATATGTGCGATTCGTGTTTTTCCCCAATGATAATAAAGTTCGGCCTCGTCGCTCCGCCCGCCAATCAAACAACAGTTTCCCATCGGTAATCGTGACTCAGTGGTTAAAAACTATTCAATTATCCCAGTGCGACCCTACCTAGGAGTTGGAACTCCTAGGAAAGCAGCATTAGTAGTAACAGTAACGCTAAGCTAAAGCTAAGCTAAAGCTAAGCTAAAGCTAAGCTAAAGCCAAGCTAAAGCTGAGCTAAATCTAAGCCACAGCTAAGCTAAAGTTAAGCTAAAGCTAAGCTAAAGCTAAGCTAAAGCTAAGCTAAAGCTGAGCAACAGCTAAGTTAAAGCTAAGCTACAGCTAAGCTACGGCTAAGCTACAGTTAAGCTAAAACTAAGCTAAAGCTAAGCTAAAGCTAAGCTAAAGCTAAGCTACAGCTAAGCTCAAGCTAAGCTAAAGCTAAGCTACAGCTAAGCTAAAGCTAAGCTAAACGCTAAACGAAAAGCTAAGCGAAACGCTAAGCTAAAGCTAAGCTACAGCTAAGCTACAGCTAAGCTAAAGCTAAGCTAAAGCTAAGCTAAAGCGAAAGCTAAAGCTCCCAGGGGACTGGGGGGAACCGCTCCCAGGGGACTGGGGGAACCGCCCGGGGCGCTTTCCACTGCCCAGCCCCTTTAAGCTAGAGAGTAAGAACCCTTCTAGGCAGAGCCTAGGTAGGGAAAAAGGGATCTTCTTGTTATTATTTCGGGCGTGCGGTATGTATATATATATATATATATATATATGTATATTGTTCCCATCCTACTGAAAGACCGAATCCCAGAAATAATTCCGAGCACCCGGAAAAGTGTCGAAAGAGTGTCGAAACAGTGTCGGGCGAGTGTCTCCCAAGGCCCGGCGCGCGAAAACCATCGGATTTCGGTATTTTTGGGGGGCTCGGAATCCTTTCGGGTGGTCAAGGCTAAAGTAGGTTGGAACATCATATATATATATATATAGATATACACCCATGGGCAAACCAGCAACGCCACCCCGACCACTGCGTGCGAGAAGGACTTGCAGGAAGGAGTAGTGGCAGCCCGCCCTTGCGCTGGTCCGACATGTACTGGCCCTCCCTAGAGACCCAGCGTGCTGAACAAGAGAAGTCCAGACGAAGGGTTTGCGCCGTTTCTCGGCCGCCGGGTGGCGACCCCCTCGCGTCGCCACAGAAATCACGACGGGAAGTGTTTGGCAATTTTCGGCCTGCCAAGCCCAGGACCCGTCAAACAATTGCCCAACACGAAAAACATGTCCTGAAAAAGAAAGGGCGGATTTCTAGGGACCGCGCGCCAGAATTATCAGAACATCGCCTGTGGGTCCTTTCTGTCCTGCTCTTGCAACCGGCCATTTTATTTGCCGTGCGCCCGCGGCAACTTGAACGCGCACGCGGATTGCCTCTGCCGCGCCGCGGCGTGAAATATCTGGGTCATCCGCCCACCCAGTCCCCGTCCTTCCCATACGCCCCTCGCGCCTCGGAGCGTCGCTGGAGCATGCGACGAATGGCCCCTCCGTCCTTCGCCATCCCACGCTTTCGTCCCGCCGCCTCCGATTCAGTTTTTTTTCCTTGATTCGGCTTGCCTGCGGATGCGGTTCTTGCTGGCTCGTGGCGAAAATCGGGTGGGTTCGCAACCGAAGGAGGCAGCCGTCGAAATTCCTCGGGTTATATGGATGTGTGTCTGTGTATGTGTGTGTGTGTGTGTGTAAGTGTGCGTGTGTGTAGAAGCCTCCTAAATGGGATCCGAATAAATGGGGTCGGAGTATCGCGCCGTACCGCCGACGCATCACCGATACATCGACGATGCATCGGCGACGTCAGCGATGCGTCGGCGATGTTCGCGTGGAACAAGCTGGGCTCCACATCGAGCCGCATCGCCGATGCATCGGAAATGCGGCGCAATCCTCCGACCTCATCTATTCGGACCCCATCTGGTAGGCCTGGAATGTGTGTGTGTGTGTGTATGTGTGTCTGCACGTGTGTGCGTTGCGTGCGTGTATATATATATATATATATATATATATATATATATAAGTGTAACTGTAAGTGTAATTGTAACTGTAAGTGCAAGTGTAATTGTGAATGTAAGTGTAAATGTAAATGTAACTGTAAACAAGTGTACGTGTACGTGTACGTGTACGTGTACGTGTACGTGTACGTGTACGTGTGAGTGTAAGTGTGAGTGTAAGTGTGTGTGTGTGTGTGTGTGTGTGTGTGTGTGTGTGTCGGTGTGTGTGTGTGTGTGTGTCCGTACCACTTTCTTGGGCTCAAGCCCTGCTTCAAGCCGCCTGGGCTCGAGCGCGCCCTTGGCTCGAGCGCGGCGCGGCGACGTCGGCAGCGGGCGGCTGCCTCCGCCCCCGCTGCCGGCGCTGCCGGCGGCGCGGGCGGCGCGGGCGGCGCTGGCGCCCCAGGCCCCGTGGGCGCCGCGGCTGCCGCTGGCGCTGCAGGCGCCGCGTGCGCCGCGGCGCTGCCGGCGTTGCTGGCGCTGCCGGGCGCCGCGGGCGCCGCGGGCGCCGCGTGCGCTGCCGGCGCTGCGGGCGCTGCCGGCGCTGCGGGCGCCGCGGGCGCTGCGTGTGCTGCCGGCGTTGCGGGCGCCGCGGGCGCCCTTGGCGCCGCCGGCGCCCTGGGCCTCGTTGGCGCCGCGGGCGGCGGCAGCTGCGGCCCGCGCGGTGGCCGGGCCGAGCGAGCCACCTGGCATGGAGCTTCATGACGGACTCCAGCAGGACAAACGCCAGCAGCACCACGGACTCCAACAGGATCGCGCGCAGCATGACGGACCCCAGCAGCGCCAGCATGAGACTTCAGCAACACGACCGTGAGCATCGCGACGGACTTATCGCCTCGTGTCGGGCCCTGGGGCCATCGCAGATCGATCCGGCTCGGAAAATGCAGCAGGAATTTTAAAAAGGTCTATTAGCCACGCCACCCCGACCAATTCGTGCGAGAAGGACTTGCAGGAGTAGTGGCAGCCGGCCCTTGCGCTGGTCCGACATGTACTGGGCGCTGTGCCGGAGCCCGCCATCGGCTGCTCCAGCGCTCCGACGAATGCGTGCGAGAGGGGGTGGCAGGGGCAGTTGCAGCCGGCCCTTGCTTTCGTCCGAGATATGTCGGGGGCGATGCCGGCGCCCGCCTCCAGCTGCTCCCACGCCCCGACCAGTGCGCGCGAAAAGGGCGGCAGGGGCAGTGGCAGCTGCTCCTAGCGCTGCAAGGCGAGATTTTTGGGGCGAAGCTGGGGCCCGTAACCATCTGCCACGGCGCCCCGATCAGCGCGTGCGGGAAGGACTGGCAGGAGCAGTGGCAGCCGATCCTGGCGCTACTCCGAGCGACGGCGGGAGC